AATAAACGCAACAGAACTATATTTGCATTGTCTCTTGGAGTTCTTTGGGCTGAACCTGACAAGTAGTATCTCCTGTGTGATTCACCAGTTCTTCCTCTGGTGATTGTGCTGCCAGCAATAATGGGGACAAGGAAGATGTAGTTGTGCTTGTCACCTGCCTGGCGTGAGTTTGGAACTCAGGCATTGTGGTTTTCTAGTTTCTGGTTATGGCTGTCCAACTCCTCTCATCTGGACAAGATCCAGGAGGCAAGCAGTACATAGATTTTGGAAAGGTCTCCGTAAAGCTAGTCTTGGGGCAAATGGAATCTTGGAAACTATCATAGAAATGTCCCAGCCTCGTTTACAGTGGACTCATTATGGCAGAGAGATTCGAAACGCTGCTTCGCAGATTTCTTGGCACCTGGGCTGAGCTGCCTTTTTTGAGATAAGCTGCCAATGGACTCCCTTTCTATCTTGACTGTTTTTGTCTACTCTCCCTTCCATCCCTTTCCAGTCTCCCCACAATTCCTCACGGCAGAAACATTATGCAATAGGATTCCTGCAAACTCTTACCTACCCTTAGGTACACCTGTTTTGGTGCCCTGTAGGTGCCGTGCCATATCCAGCTTCTTAATTTAACAAATGAATGAATGCTGGCATGCTGCAGAGCAAGGCATTAGACTTGGCCATCCCACTGATTTGCAGAAATGCTTTTGGATCCCACAGGGATCCCACTGAGATAGTTGAGGCCAGTTAGGAAGTATGTGGTTCACTTTCTATTAAATTAAAGAGGTGTGACCACCCCTGCCCATTTCGTGAATTGCCAATGCCGCCGTGGCAATCATGCCGTAAGCATGGCCAGCTTTCAGAATCTCCAACCTGCCCCAAGTCTCAAACATGTGCTCCTCCTTGGATTATGGCCTAACATCAGATGTGAACCCAGACACTGTGGCTTATTCAGGAAGCCATAGTTAAACCAAGTGTAGCTCAGCAGAAGCTACAGCTAGACAAATGGACCAGCTTTTTCTATTATACAGAGGTGGCTGTTAAAAAACAAAAAAAGCCACTGGTGTTGACTTTTTAAGCCCTTCTCTTTCTCTTCCTTATACAGATCTAACACGGCTGGCTCCTTCCTTCCCAGCTATGCTGTTTCTAAAGCACTCCATTCGGTTGCTGAGTTCTCAACCTCTTTTGACTAATTCTCCTGGTTGTTCCTAGGGTAGGGTAGCTCAGACCTTTGGCCCATCTAGTGAGAGGTTCTAGACTTATAGCAGTGTTGCCCACTTGAAGATGTGTGGACTTGCCCACTTGAAGATGTGTGGACTTCAACTCCCAGAATTCCCCAGCCAGCCATTTTCCCCAGAATTCCTGAGCCTGGCTGGGGAATTCTGGGAGTTGAAGTCCAGGGGCCAAGGTTGAGAAACACTGACATAGGCTGCCATATAACACAACACAGCCATTCCCCAGAAACCTATATTGACAATTAAAAAATCTCAAAATCTGAAGACTCTTCATATCTCTGCCTGTAAAACTGTTGGATGTACTACAAGAGGACATATGGCTGCTTCTGCAACTTGCCCTGATTAGAAATGTTTAGTAGTCTGCAAATCTCTAAATCTAGACTCCACTAGTTTGTTTATTTGTTTGTTTAATTGTGCAATGATTCCCGTGCCTCAGTCCTCACAGTCTCTAGGTGGTTTACAGATATCCAAATAGCAATAAAATAAAATTACATTTTAAAGCTTTCGTCACGAAATTATAACGATTAAGATCCAATAATAAGAAAACTATACAGACCTAAATAAATTGTTAGCAGCTATCTTTCAGAACGACAGGCAGGGGCGTCCCCAGGGAAGGGTCAAAAACTTCAAGATGGTGGGCATGGCGTCACTGTCAAAGCTCTGCCCCTTTGCAGGTATTTGCATACAGAATTGGTTAGTGGATTTTAACCCCTCCCAGCGGATACCCCTGATGTCCAAGATGTCATCGTGTGGCGGTGTAATGTCTTATAAACCAAGCTAAAACAAGGTGGAGAAAGAGGATCTGTTTTTTAAAATGTTTTCCCATGTGTAGCCTAGCAACAAGGCTAGGTAAATAACCCTTGCTGGAAGTTCCCTCCGCCCTCAAAAATAAATACAGCATGGGGGGGGCAGCCATCTTATGCATTCGATTCATATTTCACTGTTATGCTATCTTTTGATAACCATGAAATTACCTGAGCATTTATTTACTCGAGAAAGGAAATGGAACATTGGTATTAAAGTTTTCCCTTGCCCTACATGGTAGCTTGTGAAGAAAATTACATTGTTTTGACTGAGATATTTTGGTCTCCATGTAAATTATACCCCACCTTTCTGCTATACTTGCCTTCAAGATTCAGGTTGATTTTGTCATCTGACACTTCTCTCCTCTCCTCTATTAAGCTCTCTCTGCATTTATTCAGGAGGTGAAGAACAGTATGAAAAAAAAAGTGACAATATCTTTTTTTTGTTGTTGTTGTTCGAAAAAGTTTTCCTGGTGGCTCTTTTCCCAGTCAGGAATGCATTAGTACAACACATTGGCTAGTCTATCCAGAAGTCTCTTGTAATCAAGTACAGACTTGTAGGGCTATCTGTGAGTCTGTGTGTGTGTGTGTGAGCACGTATTAGTGTGTATGTCTGTGTTGCTTTAGTTTATATTAGCCCTGGAGGCAGAGTTAACACTTAAAATGGGACAAGAGTGTTTGCAGCCATCAGAGAACTTTCCAGCCAGCTTCAATAACATCATTCTGTTTTTTTTCTCTTTTTTTGTATATAATTTTTTTTTTTTTTTGGCAGCAAAGACTTCAGTGGAACCATCTGTCTCTCTATTAGTGTTTTGAGTTCTGTTTTGAAGCTTCTTTGCTTGGCAAAGTCATTTTCATCCTTGGAATCTCTCTTCTTCTTCTTCTTCTTCTTCTTCTTCTTCT